CTACAGTGTAGCTTGTACTAACATTGTTGTACTACAGTGTAGGGTGTACTAACATTGTTGTACTACAGTGTAGCTTGTACTAACATTGTTGTACTACAGTGTAGGGTGTACTAACATTGTTGTACTACAGTGTAGCTTGTACTAACATTGTTGTACTACAGTGTAGCTTGTACTAACATTGTTGTACTACAGTGTAGCTGTACTAACATTGTTGTACTACAGTGTAGGGTGTACTAACATTGTTGTACTACAGTGTAGCTTGTACTAACATTGTTGTACTACAGTGTAGCTTGTACTAACATTGTTGTACTACAGTGTAGCTTGTACTAACATTGTTGTACTACAGTGTAGCTTGTACTAACATTGTTGTACTACAGTGTAGCTTGTACTAACATTGTTGTACTACAGTGTAGGGTGTACTAACATTGTTGTACTACAGTCTAGCTTGTGTGCATAAAAACTTACGAAAACATTTGTATGCATGAATGGAGAAGTAGAAAATAAGTTAAACTAAGCTGGCAACAGTAGAGTCGTAAGTACGAGTGGTCGTAAGTTGGATGGTACTTGTACAGTATTCTAGCAGAGCTCAATAGTGATATTTTCTTCCATTCAAATGGTAATTCATTATTTTTTTTATTAACACATGGGCCAGTTCCCACCTAGGCAGGGTGGCCCAAGAAAGAAAAACTTTCGTCCATCACTGTCTTGCCAGAGGACTGCTTTACACTACAGTTATAAAACTGCAACATTAACACCCCTCCTTCAGAGTGTAGACACTGTACTTCCCATCTCCAGGACTCAAGTCCAGCCTGCCAGTTTCACTGAATCCCTTCATAAATGTTACTTTGCTCACACTCCAACAGCATGTCAAATATTGAAAACCCTTTGTCTCCATTCATTCCTATCAAATATGCTCACAAACACAAAACCACCTCTACCCTGTCCCTCCAACCTTTCCTTGGCTGACCCCTACCCCACCTTCCCTCCACTACAGATTTATTCGTACACTCTTGAAGTCATTCTGTTTCATTCCATTCTCTCTACATGTCCGAGCCACCTTAGCAACACCTCATCAGTCCTCTGGATAATAGTTTTGGCAACCCCATACCTCCTCTTAATTTCCAAACTACGAATTCTCTGCATTATATTCACACCACACATTGCCCTCAGACATGACATCTCCACTGCCTCCAGCCTTCTCCTTGTTGCAACATTCACCACCCATATTTCACACCCATATAGGAGTGTTGATATAAGTATACTCTCATACATTTCCCTTTTTGCTTCCACAGACAAAGTTCTTTGTCTCCACTGACTCCTCAGTGCACTACTCACCCTTTTCCCCTCATCAGTTCTGTGATTCACTTCATCCTTTATAGACCCATTTCTACCTCATCCTTTATAGACCCATCTCTGCCTGGAGTTTACCTGGAGAGAGTTGCGGGGGCCAACGCCCCTGCGGCCCGGTCTGTGACCAGGCCTCCTGGTGGATTAGAGCCTGATCAACCGGGCTGTTACTGCTGGCTGCACGCAATCCAGCGTACGAGCCACAGCCCGGCTGGTCACGTACCGACTTTAGGTGCTTGTCCAGTGCCAGCTTGAAGACAGCCAGGGGTCTATTGGTAATCCCCCTTATGTATGTTGGGAGGCAGTTGAACAGTCTCGGGCCCCTGACACTTATTGTATGGTCTCTTAACGTGCTAGTGACACCCCTCTACCTCATCTTTCAATGACCCATCCGCTGACACATCCACTCCTAAATATCTGAATACATTTGCCTCCTCCATACTCTCTCCCTCCAGTCTTTTGTCACCTAACCTTTGTGTTGTCTTCATCACCTTGATCTTTCCTATATTCACTTTAACACTTAAACGCTCCAAACAAATCAACGTTCAAATTCATAGCTACAAAAGCAGATCTACTTTTTTTAACATATTTTCAAATATAACAAAAAAAAATGTACATAAAAGCTTTTTTTTACAGGTTTTCAAATGTAAAACAAAAAAGAAGATCTACATTTTTTATATACTTTCAGATGTTGAAAAAACGTATATATACGTTTGGACCATTTAAGGGTTAAACCTTTGACTGTCTCAACCCCAAATCCTGAAATGCCTCCTGTTGAAACATTTTTGGAAAAAAAAAATATTTTTTCATATGAAATGATACTCTTTTCCCGATGGTAAAGACACCAAAAGTATGAAATTTGATCGAAAACTTACGGAATTGCGCTCCCGCGAAGTAAGCGATCTCGGCGATATATATGCATAGGCGATTTTGCAGACTTTTAGCCCTATTTTCGGCTAATTCCATTGTTCCAGTCGATCAAACTCATAGCTATTTCTTTAGAACTCCATTTTTTCTATCACTTGAGTACAAGAAACTGGCCATTTACCAATTTCAACTACCTAATAAAGTCGTCAGAAATTGGCAGTTTGGCCAATTTCATGCAAATTAAAAAGTGCCAATTTCAAAATAGGGTCCAGAATAAACAACACAGACATTCTTGGCACTAAAATAACATATCCACTGTTCATTAGTCACATCTCCAGGCCCCTCTTATATTACTCTTACTTTCTATTTTAATTTTTTATTCACGCAAAAATTAGAAGATTTTCTGTTATGCAGACTACCGCATTATTGTAAAAATGGTATAAATAATATCAGTGCACTAGTGAAACAATATTAGACTCACCAGTTGACGTGTATTGGACATGTGGTGTGATTTGTTTACTCTTGAACATTGGTAAAAATCGAACATTTCCGCTACTTTGAGCTCAATTTCAAGGTCGTTTTCATCGTGAAACTAATCAAAATCATCTTTGTTTCTGTAATATGTCTTTCATTATATCAAATGAGACCAAGAAAACGAGAATACATCCATAAATACTATACGAAAATACACCTCAAAGTCAGCGTTTTAATCCAAAAAGACTGAGTTTTTTTCCTCATGCACTGCGTGCTGCAGGATTTTTTTATACACTGCACACTGACCACACAGACCCATTCTCTCACATGTGGGCCTACCACCTTTGTCCCACTTGATTTGAAGCCGCTAAAATTTAGGAGTTTTAACCCTTAAACTGTCCAAACGTAGATCTTCGTCCGCGTGCAGGGCGCTCCAAACGTAGATCTACGTTTTTTTTTTTTACATGCTTTCAAATGGGGAAAATCAAGGTCGGAGCACTATGCACACAAACGTAGATCTATGTTTGGACAGTTTAAGGCTAATTTATTTATTTATTATTTGGACATGATACATAGTTGTAGAAAAGAAATACAGTGGTTGAGTGTACATGCCAAAAGCCCCTTGTATGCAGAGCATTGTGGGCAGGCTTAAAATTAACTTAAGATTAACTAAGCAAAAACACTGGCTCGTAAGATGTATATACATGACACCGACAATCAAAGGGTTAAATAATAGCACCAACCACTCCAAAACTATATCCCCACCTGCTTTTAACATTTCTATCTTTATCCCATCAATCCCGGCTGCCTTACCCCCTTTCATTTTACCTACTGCCTCACGAACTTCCCCCACACTCACAACTGGCTCTTCCTCACTCCTACAAGATGTTATTCCTCCTTCCTCTATACATGAAATCACAGCTTCCCTATCTTCATCAACATTTAACAATTCCTCAAAATATTCCCTCCATCTTCCTGACACTTCTAACACTCCATTTAATAACCCTCCTCCTATTTTTAACCCTTAAACTGTCCAAACGTATATCTAAGTTCACTCGCTTAGCGCTCCGAATGTATACGTTTTTTTTTTTACGTGCTTTCTTGTGGAGAAAATCAAGGTTGGAGCTCTACGTGTGAAAACGTAGATCTACATTTGGACAGTTGAAGGGTTAACTGTCAATCCATTTGTTCCCTAGACTTCCTCAACTTATTAATCTCACTCCAAAATTTTCTATTTATTTTCAACAAAATTTTTTTATAACATCTCGGCCACTCTCTCATTTGCTCTCTTTTTACATTGCTTCACCACTCTCTTAACCTCTCTCATTTTCTCCATATACTCTTCCCTCCTTGCATCACTTCTACTTTGTAAAAACTTCTCATATGCTAACTTTTTCTCCCTTACTACTCTCTTTACATCATCATTCCACCAATCGCTCCTCTTCCCTCCTGCACCCACTTTCCTGTAACCACAAACTTCTGCTGAACACTCTAACACTACATTTTTAAACCTACCCCATACCTCTTCGACCCCATTGTCTATACTCTCATTAGCCCATCTATCCTCCAATAGCTGTTTATATCTTACCCTAACTGCCTCCTCTTTTAGTTTATAAACCTTCACCTCTCTCTTCCCTGATGCTTCTATTCTCCTTGTATCCCATCTACCTTTTACTCTCAGTGTAGCTACAACTAGAAAGTGATCTGATATATCTGTGGCCCCTCTATAAACATGTACATCCTGAAGTCTACTCAACAGTCTTTTATCTACCAATACATAATCCAACAAACTACTGTTATTTCGCCCTACATCATATCTTGTATACTTATTTATCCTCTTTTTCTTAAAATATGTATTACCTATAACTAAACCCCTTTCTATACAAAGTTCAATCAAAGGGCTCCCATTATCATTTACACCTGGCACCCCAAACTTACCTACCATACCTCTCTAAATCGTAATTCATATTGGTAATTATCACTTATTCAATGAAGTTGACTTTTATGGCATTTTTGAAAGAGAGTTTGGTTGCATGTGTGCTGGGAAGTCTGGCAACCCTGGTGCAACTTTGAGTTTCATATGTATTGCAACAATTGCCTTAGTGAAGAGCAGTATTATGAGTAACTACAGTCTAGGATGTACTAACATGGTTATGCAACATCTAGGGTGTACTAACATGGTTGTGCAACATCTAGGATGTACTAACATGGTTATGCAACATCTAGGGTGTACTAACATGGTTGTGTAACATCTAGGGTGTACTAACATGGTTGTGCAACATCTAGGGTGTACTAACATGGTTGTACTACAGTCTAGGGTGTACAACGGTGTGATAGAGGATGTAATCAGTGGTGTACGCGAGTGCTTCCTGGACGAGGGTGTAGACGAACAAGTGCTGAGTGAACTACGCCAGCTGTGGGAACAGAAACTACAACGTATGAACGTCATAGACAACACTGAACCAGGGACTACCACTGCCTCTGCTGCCTCTCACCACCACCACCAGCACCAACAGCAGCAGCAGCAGCAACAACAGCAACAGCAGCAGCAGCAACAGCAAGCACAAACACAACAAGCACAGTCACAGACACAACAAACAGGTGTGTGGTTTCTCGTATCTTTGTTTTATAACTGATCTTTTAAAGTTGCTCTATATATATATATTCAGTTCTCTTATAAAGTTCATATTAGTCTTGATTGCTAAAGAACTGGCTAAACGATACCCATCAATACTTACAAAACTAATACGAAAATCGAAGCAAATGTATTACAAAAATAGATTTATTGAAATGAAAGGTGACATGAAAAGTACCTGGCAAACCATCTTCAAAATTTTGGGCTCAAGGAAACTGTCTGGAAACAGAGAAATAAACTTAACTAAACCAGATCAACCTCACATACAACCTATAGACACTGCCAACAAATTTGATGTTTTCTTCTCTACTGTAGGATCAAAGCTAGCAAGTCAAATTCCTAGCTTAAATACCCAGCCGAGCGAGTACCTCATTGGCAGCTTATATACCGTAGGCAGGAGAGGTGCAGCAGTCATAGGTGGTGCCACATTTGTTCATTGTGGAAGTAGGTCGTGCCCAAGGGTTAGGCAAGCGAAGAATTCCCAAGTACAGTGTCAATTGAACATAAGAACATAAGAAAGTAGGAACACTGCAGCAGGCCTGTCGGCCCATACTAGGCAGGTCCTTTACAGTCCTTCTCATTAACAAAATATTTGCCCAACCCAATTTATAATGCTACCCAATGGAAATAAATGGTATAAAATACCAACACAATGGAAATATAAACACAAATGCAGTATAATGTGATCCTTTATTGACAACGTTTCGCCCACACTGGGCTTTTTCAAGTCACAAACAGAACTACCTGGGGTGGAAGGAACGCGAGTATTTATAGTCCGGTTCAGAATGCTGAGGTCAGGTGGAGAATGCTGCATCTGATGATGTACCGAGTGGGGTTATAGAGTCTAAAAACTTGGGTAGCTTGGAAAGGAGATTGGATAAGTTTGTGAGCAGACCTTCTACAGTGTTCTTATGCCAAGAAACTTCTTCATCGCTATCCCACATAAGAACACTGTAGAAGGTCTGCTCACAAACTTATCCAATCTCCTTTCCAAGCTACCCAAGTTTTTAGACTCTATAACCCCACTCGGTACATCATCAGATGCAGCATTCTTCACCTGACCTCAGCCGGACTATAAATACTCGCGTTCCTTCCACCCCAGGTAGTTCTGTTTGTGACTTGAAAAAGCCCACTGTGTGGGCGAAACGTAGTCAATAAAGGATCACATTATACTGCATTTGTGTTTATATTTCCATAATGCTACCCAAGAAATAAGTTTTGATGATTCTATTTACTCATTATGCAAGTCTCACTCAAATCCAGCCCCTCTCACTCATGTATTTATCCAACCTAAATTTGAAACTACCCAACGTTTTAGCTTCAATAACCCTACTAGGAAGACTGTTCCACTCATCAACTACTCTATTTCCAAACCAATACGTGCCTACATCCTTTCAAAATCTAAACTTACCTAATTTGAATCCATTATTGCGGGTTCTCTTTTGGAGAGATATCCTCAAGACCTTATATATATCCCCTTTGTTAATACCCATCTTCCACTTGTACACTTCGATCATGTCTCCCCTCATTCTTCGTCTTACATGTGAATGTAGTTTAAGAGTCTTCAATCACTCTTCGTAGGGAAGACGTCTAATGCTATGTATTAATTTAGTCATTCTTCGCTGAATGTTTTCCAACAAATTTATGTCCATTCTGTAATATGGAGACCAGAACTGAGCTGCGTAATCTAGATGAGGCCTTACTAATGATGTATAAAGCTGCAGTATAACCTCTGGACTTCTGTTATTTACACTTCTTGATATAAATCCCAATAATCTGTTTGCCTTATTACATACACTTAGGTATTGCTGTCTTGGTTTAAGGTTGCTGCTCACCATAACCCCCAAGTCCTTTTCGCAATCTATATGGCTAAGTTCTGCATTATTTAACTTATAAGTACTAGGGTTATGGACACTCCCGAGCTTCAGAACCTTGCATTTATCTACATTGAACTGCATCTGCCACTTTTCTGACCAAGAACAGAGTTTGTCTAAATCCTCCTGAAGTTCCCTAACATCTACGTTTGAATCAATTATCCTACCTATCTTTGTGTCATTGGCGAATTTGCTGATATCACTAGTAATTCCCTCATCAAGGTCATTGACATATATTATAAACAACAACGGGCCCAAGACTGATCCCTGTGGAATGCCACTTGTTACAGATCCCCACTTGGATTTAACCCCATTTAAGCATACTCTCTGCTTCCTGTTAGTGAGCCATGACTCGATCCATGACAGCACTTTTCCCCCAGTGCCATGAGCTGCCACTTTCTTCAACAGTCTCTGGTGTGGTACTCTATCAAAAGCCTTACTAAAATCTAAATAAACAATATTGAATTCTTTACCATGATCAACGACCTCAAAAGCTTAACTGAAGAAGGTTAATAAATTAGTTAGTCAGGAACGGCCCCTCGTGAATCCATGCTGAGTATCATTAATCAAGCTGTGCTTATCCAGATGGCTTCTTATAATATCAGCTATAATTGACTCTAGTAATTTGCCTACAATTGAGGTAAGGCTTATTGGACATAATATACTCTGGGAGTACACTAGCCAGGTAATAATGATAGTGGCAACTGGACATAATGTACTATGGGAGTACACCAGGCAGGTTGTGGTTGCTACAACACCATGTATGAATATTGCAGGTGCAACATCACTCGCAGCAAGCTTGGTGCCAGTGCAGATCACGGTGCCTGCCCAACAGGCCGGCGGTGTGCCCAAGACCATCACCATACATGTACCCTCATCCGCCTTGGCCAACGGTGTGGCTGGGCAGCAGTTACAGGCCATCCTCAGCTCTCCTACTGCAGCCCATACCTTCTCCCTTGAGGTGAGTCAACAGTATATCATGTGAGTCTCAGGTACATCATGTGAGTCTCAGGTACATCATGTGGGTCTAAAGTACATTGTGTGAGTCTAAAGTACATTGTGTGAGTCTAAAGTACATTGTGTGAGTCTAAAGTACATTGTGTGAGTCTAAAGTACATTGTGTGAGTCTAAAGTACATTGTGTGAGTCTAAAGTACATTGTGTGAGTCTAAAGTACATTGTGTGAGTCTAAAGTACATTGTGTGAGTCTAAAGTACATTGTGTGAGTCTGAAGTACATTGTGTGAGTCTAAAATATACAGTAATTAAATAAAGAACGAGTGTCAGTGAATAAGTCAGTAAACAACTAATTATTGTAAGTAAATATCATTATTGATATGTCAATAAATGAAGACAAATTAGGGACTTGTTGCCTCATATTGGGAATTATCTTAAGTTTATCTCGCCAGTTATTGCTGTCACACCATCATAAAGTTGTACCATCGTAAAGTTGAAATATAGTAATTTGTGCCATCGTAAGTAGTTAGTGTAGTAGTTACTAGCATGTTGGTGCCAGCATTACTAGCATGTTGGTGCCAGCATTACTAGCATGTTGGTGCCAGCATTACTAGCATGTTGGTGCCAGCATTAACCCTCTCAGGGTCCAGAGGCCAAATTTCGAAGTGCACACCAGGGTCCAAGAATTTTCAAAAAATAATTGTTATTTTTTTCTTATGAAATCATAGAGAATATTTTTCTGAAGGTAATAAAACAAAAAGTATGAAATTTGATGGAAAATTGACGAAATTATGCTCTTGCGAATTTTGATGTGTCGGTGATATTTACGCATTGGCGATTTTGCCGACTTTGACTCCCATTTTAGGCCAATTATATTACTCCAGTCGACCAAATTCTTAGCTATTTCACTAGTATTACTTCTATTCTATCAATTGTGCACAAGAAATCGCCAAGTCAACTGTTTGAACATCAAAATAAAGTGAGCAGAAATTGGTAATTTGGCCAATTTAGTGCAAAGTTCAAAATATTCCAATTTCAAAATAGGGTCCAGAATAAACAATGTAAGTATTCCTGGCACTAAACTAACATTTCCTCTGTTCATTAGTTATGTTTTCAGGTTTTACAAATGAATTCCATTTTGATTTTTTATTCACATAATGAATTTTTATTCAAACCAAAAAATAGAAGATTTACTGTTATGCAATATTGTAATAACTGTATAAATAATATTACCACATTTGTGAACGTATATTAGACCCACCAGCCGGCGTGTATTAGACATATATTAGACCCACCAGCCGGCGTGTATTAGACATATATTAGACCCACCAGCCGGCGTGTATTAGACATATATTAGACCCACCAGCCGCGTGTATTAACATATATTAGACCCACCAGCCTGGCGTGTATTAGACATATATTAGACCCACCAGCCGGCGTGTATTAGACATATATTAGACCCACCAGCCGGCGTGTATTAGACATATATTAGACCCACCAGCCGCGTGTATTAGACATATATTAGACCCACCACCGCGTGTATTAAAACATATATTAGACCCACCAGCCGGCGTGTATTAGACATATATTAGACCCACCAGCCGGCGTGTATTAGACATATATTAGACCCACCAGGCAGCGTGTATTAGACATATATTTAGACCCACCAGCCGCGTGTATTAGACATATATTAGACCCACCAGCCGGCGTGTATTAGACATATATTAGACCCACCACCGGCGTGTATTAAACATATATTAGACCCACCAGCCGGCGTGTATTAAACATATATTAGACCCACCAGCCGGCGTGTATTAGACATATATTAGACCCACCAGCCGGCGTGTATTAGACATATATTAGACCCACCAGCCGGCGTGTATTAGACATATATTAGACCCACCAGCCGGCGTGTATTAAACATATATTAGACCCACCAGCCGGCGTGTATAGACATATATTAGACCCACCAGCCGCGTGTATTAAAACATATATTAGACCCACCAGCCGGCGTGTATTAAACATATATTAGACCCACCAGCCGGCGTGTATTAGACATATATTAGACCCACCAGCGGGCGTGTATTAGACATATATTAGACCCACCAGCCGGCGTGTATTAGACATATATTAGACCCACCAGGCGGCGTGTATTAGACATATATTAGACCCACCAGCGGGCGTGTATTAGACATATATTAGACCCACCAGCCGGCGTGTATTAGACATATATTAGACCCACCAGCCGGCGTGTATTAGACATATATTAGACCCACCGCCGGCGTGTATTAGACATATATTAGACCCACCAGCCGGCGTGTATTAGACATATATTAGACCCACCAGCCGGCGTGTATTAGACATATATTAGACCCACCAGCCGGCGTGTATTAGACATATATTAGGCCCACCAGCTGGCGTGTATTAGACATATATTAGACCCACCAGCCGGCGTGTATTAGACATATATTAGACCCACCAGCCGGCGTGTATTAGACTTATATTAGACCCACCAGCCGGCGTGTATTAGACATATATTAGACCCACCAGCTGGCGTGTATTAAACATATATTAGACCCACCAGCCGGCGTGTATTAAACATATATTAGACCCACCAGCCAGCGTGTATTAGACATATATTAGACCCACCAGCTGCGTGTATTAAACATAATATTAGACCCACCAGCCGGCGTGTATTAAACATATATTAGACCCACCAGCCGGCGTGTATTAAACATATATTAGACCCACCAGCCGGCGTGTATTAGACATATATTAGACCCACCAGCCGCGTGTATTAGAACATATATTAGACCCACCAGCCGGCGTGTATTAGACATATATTAGACCCACCAGCCGGCGTGTATTAAACATATATTAGACCCACCAGCCGGCGTGTATTAGACATATATTAGACCCACCAGCCGGCGTGTATTAGACATATATTAGACCCACCAGCCGGCGTGTATTAGACATATATTAGACCCACCAGCCGGCGTGTATTAGACATATATTAGACCCACCAGACCAGGCGTGTATTAAACATATATTAGACCCACCAGCCGCGTGTATTAGACATATATTAGACCCACCAGCCGCGTGTATTAGACATTATTAGACCCACCACCGGCATGTATTAGACATATATTAGACCCACCAGCCGGCGTGTATTAAACATATATTAGACCCACCAGCCGGCGTGTATTAAACATATATTAGACCCACCAGCGGCGTGTATTAGACATATATTAGACCCACCAGCCGGCGTGTATTAGACATATATTAGACCCACCAGCCGGCGTGTATTAGACATGTATTACACCCACCAGCCGGCGTGTATTAGACATATATTAGACCCACCAGCTGGCGTGTATTAGACATATATTAGACCCACCAGCCGGCGTGTATTAGACATATATTAGACCCACCAGCCGGCGTGTATTAGACATATATTAGACCCACCAGCCGGCGTGTATTAGACATATATTAGACCCACCAGCCGGCGTGTATTAGACATATATTAGACCCACCAGCCGGCGTGTATTAAACATATATTAGACCCACCAGCCGGCGTGTATTAGACATATATTAGACCCACCAGCCGGCGTGTATTAGACATATATAGACCCACCAGCCGGCGTGTATTAGACATGTATTAGACCCACCAGCCGGCGTGTATTAGACATATATTAGACCCACCAGCTGGCGTGTATTAGACATATATTAGACCCACCAGCCGGCGTGTATTAGACATATATTAGACCCACCAGCCGGCGTGTATTAGACATATATTAGACCCACCAGCCGGCGTGTATTAGACATATATAGACCCACCAGCCAGCGTGTATTAGACATATATTAGACCCACCAGCCGGCGTGTATTAGACATATATTAGAACCCACCAGCCGGCGTGTATTAAACATATATTAGACCCACAGCCGGCATGTATTAGACATATATTAGACCCACACAGCCGGCGTGTATTAAACATATATTAGACCCACCAGCCGGCGTGTATTAAACATATATTTAGACCCACCAGCCGGCATGTATTAGACATATATTGACCACCAGCGGCGTTTAACATTTTGTATTTGACATTCAACCACCCAGTACTAAAATAAAATTCATTATTAGACCCACTCAGCCGGCATGTATAAACATATTAGACCACTCAGCGCGCTGTATAAATAGACATATTTAGACCCACCACCGGCGTGTATTAACATGTTAACCCCACCGGCTTATTAACATTATTCCCCACCACGGGGTTATTGACATATATTAGACCCACCACCGGCGTTAAATTTGACATATATTAGACCCACCAGCCCCGTGTATAACAAATATTAGACCCCCACCGGCGTGTAAGACATATATTAAAACCACCAGCCGGCGTGATTAGACATATATTGACCCACCACCGGGGCGGTATTAAAACATATATTAGACCCCCCCCGGGGTGTATTAACATAATTTGACCCACCACCGCGTGTATTTGACAATATTAGACCCACCACCCGGTAATTTGACATTATTAAAACCCACCAGCCGGCGTTATAGACTTAATTTTGACCCACCACGGCGTGTATTAGACATATATTAGACCCACCAGCCGGCGTGTATTAGACATATATTAGACCCACCAGCCGGCGTGTATTAGACATATATTAGACCCACCAGCCGGCGTGTATTAGACATATATTAGACCCACCAGCCAGCGTGTATTAGACATATATTAGACCCACCAGCCGGCGTGTATTAGACATATATTAGACCCACCAGCCGGCGTGTATTAAACATATATTAGACCCACCACCGGCATGTATTAACATATATTAGACCCACCACCGGCGTGTATTAAACATATATTAGACCCACCAGCCGGCGTGTATTAAACATATATTAGACCCACCAGCCGGCATGTATTAGACATATATTAGACCCACCAGCCGGCGTGTATTAAACATATATTAGACCCACCAGCCGGCGTGTATTAAACATATATTAGACCCACCAGCCGGCGTGTATTAGACATGTGAGGTCATTTGTTTACTCTTGAACATCGGCAAAAATTTAACATTTCTGCTACTTTGAGCTCAGTTTCAAGCCATTTCCAGTACTAAAACCAATCAAAATTATCTCTATTTCTGTAATATATCTTCCATTCTATCAAATGAGACCAAGAAATTGCAAATACAACTATACAAAAACATACGAAAAAACACTGCAGCAAAGTCGCTGTTTTAATCGAAAATTATGGTCTCAGTTTTTTCTCTCGTTATGCACTGTGTGCTGCAAGCTTTGTTTTATGTGGTGCACACATACCACATAGATGTATTCTCTCATATCTAGGGCCAGATTTACTGCTCACAGCTTATCAGTGAGCTGAGCTCATGACATAGATCTACGGTTTGGACCCTGAACGTAAAGCCGTAGATCTACGGCACGGACCCTGAAAGGGCTAATACCCACAGACCGGTTGAGGTTTGAACCACAAGTGTTTGCAATGTTGGTATATTAGAGATGTTGAGATCCATGTTGCATCTTGCAGGCCAGCCGTGCAGCAGAGATCATCCAGCGCAAGTTGAACCAGGCACTGGAGGACAACGGTATTACCCTGCCCCCACAGTTGCAGCAGTATAACCACATTGCTGCCACCCAGGTAACTTGTTATACAGCTCCCGGTCCTTGGATCGGGTCCTCTCTTGTAGTGTGTTAGAGTTCTTCTCCAGTAAACCATACATGTAGTGGGTCACCCTGGGGTCCCTGGAGTGGGTCACCCTGGGGTCCCTGGTTGTCACCTTGGGGGCCCTGGTGGTCATTCTGGGGACCCTGGTGGTCACCCTGCAGGCCCAGGTGATCACCCTGCAGGCCCAGGTGGTCACCCTGGGGGCCCTGTGTGTCACCCTGCAGGCCCAGGTGATCACCCTGCAGGCCCAGTGGTCACCCTGGTGGCCCTGGTGGTCACCCTGCAGGCCCAGGTGATCACCCTGCAGGCCCAGGTGGTCACCCTGGGGGCCCTGGTGGTCACCCTGCAGGCCCAGGTGATCACCCTGCAGGCCCAGGTGGTCACCCTGGGGGCCCTGGTGGTCACCCTGCAGACCCTGGTGGTTAGTTTTTAAACGTGTATTGGTGTATGT